AGAATTCATTATTTAGTTCTGTTCTCGATTACATAGCTATGAAAAAGAATAAATAGCTACAGCAAGTTGAAATAGCTAGAAGATCTTTAGATTGTTAATGAATGAATCAAATAGCTGTGTATAAATTGCAAAATTAAAAGAAAAAAAAACTACCATTTACATCTAGCTAATCATTTTTGCCGATTTAATTATAAAAAAGATTGTATATCTTTTGAGAATGAACCGTTGGCTTTATGTATTGATTTTCCTATGTTTTCCAGCTTCTCTGAAAAAATAATACTCGTATGAGATAGTTTAGCAATCTTTGAAACTTTTGATAAAGCTGTTTGTATTGATGAAATTTGCTTTAAACCGTCATTTGCGATCAACTGTATAGTATGAGCAAAACATGGTATATGTAATGCTTCACTATTTGCAGCAATACTATGAAAACTATGTTTAATTAATTCAATTATATCCGTATCATCATTATCTCTAACTTGTATAGACAATTCTTCATTATCACCATCGTTAACATCATCTACATTAATATCACTTCCTTCGTCATCATTATCATTATCTTCAATATCAAAATGATTCTGAAAACCTGCTATTATTAAATTTTCAAATGCTTTAATGTTGTTGGCAGCATTATCTGTCACTAAATGAACTAATTTTGTTTGTATATCAAACCTGTTAACTACATTTTCATACGTTTGTAACAACAAATTAGCATTATGACTACCATATCAAGGTAAAAAGCATAATACGTAGGATTTTAGTACATTGTTAACAAAAGCATGACCTTAAAAAAAAATAAAATGCTTAATGAATCAATATTACTGCCAAATATCAGAACATTTGAAAAATGTTGAAATGATACCTGTAATTGCAAAAAAAGCTCGCAATCGACGATCTGTCCATATGTCAAGGGTAAGGGATATAAAATTAGATTAATTACAAAACTTCTTTAATTCATCATTCATTATATCATATAAACGTAGAATTGTTGTACGACTTAATGTTCGTCTACTAGTCATAGTAAACTTTGGATCTATTGTATTCATGAATCTATTAAATGCTTCATGTTCAACTATTGATAATGGTAAACCGAAATCAATGATTAGATTTTGTACAATAGATTTAGATAGTTGAATTTGACGTGAATGATTAACATTATAAACAGATTTTGAAGCTGATGATTTTCTTCTTATTCCATCGTTTTTCAGAAATACATCAGTTATTTTTTTTTGGTTTTTATTAATAACGTGATTTAATTCAGCATTCCACTCTTGATATCCTTGTCTGCGTTGGATTTTTATATGTCGATTCATGTTTGATATTACACCTTTATTGTCATATTGAATTTTATTATATAAAATACATCCACCAGACCAATTTTTTTTATGATTTTAAATTCACATAAAATTTATCTCGCATTGCTTTTGGAATATTATCAATACTTTGTAATGGTGCTGGAAATGAATCACTCAATGCAGAAGAAAGTGCTGAACTAGGTGATAATACACATACATCTGGAGAAACTTGTGAAACATCATAATCCTTTTGTAAAATGACTTCACTCATGTTTTATCTCAATAAATGTTGAAATAAATTTAACTGGATTAATAAAATAGGCAATGCATGAATCATTTGAATCTGTTATCATTGGTTATGTAACTACTAATAAGAATGGTATATATTTTACTTTTTTTAATCGATAGAAATTATTCATATTTATCATGAACAGAAAATGAAGATTTTCTATATACTAGCTATGGCAAAAGTGCAAAAGTTCACAGTAGAAAAAAAAACTTTAAGTTTTTTTTTAATATAATTTACATTGTAACTACAAGAATATGCTTGACTTGACTTGCATTTTTTCGGCAAGTCAAAAGTTAAGTCAAGTCAGACCAAGTCACCAGTCAATAAAAAAAATCATTTACAAGTCACAGTCAAGTCTCAAGTCATCTTACTCTTCTTCAAGTCATGTCAAGCCAAGTCAAAAATGACTTGACTTGACTTGCCCATCTCTGGTATGTGAGTCTTTTCTGAAGTTTATAATCTTTTCTATATCGAATGTCTTTGTGCATCAAGTTCTTAATTATAATAAACAAACTTTATTACCTATTTAGAAAAAGTTCAAACAGCAATACATTTCCCATAATATGAATCTTTTTTCAAGCGAATGTGACAGAACAATTTTTTTATTCATTATATAAGTATTATTTTTACTTGACATTATTTCGTCCATAATAGATCGAACAACATTGATCGTTCATAGAAATTAAAAGACAAACAAAATTTTTTGAGAATAAATTATTTATTAACAGTTCTTTCCAATATACTCATAGGTTTAGATAAGCATCTCATTTTAAACTATTTCTATCTTACATAGTAGGATTATATCAGTGTACTCGATGCTACCGATCTACTTACGGCTCCTTAATATGACAAACCACCTATTTTCATTAATCAGCTGATTATTATATAATAAAATAAAATTCATTAAATGCAAATTGATTCAAATTCACCGTTCATATTATATTCTTATTTTTAAAATTAGCACCTTTCCTTCCATTTTGCACGAATTTTTTTTATGTTACTATTTGAAGGGTATGGGTGTTAGTGTAACTGACAACAACACCCACACCCACATCGGCACCCACATCCGACCCCCATCTACACCCACACGCTTATCCTTGAAGAAAAAGAAAATGAATTTGGTAAAAGAGTGCAAAAAGATTTAATCGTGCCACCGAATGTTGTCGTACGAGCTTCAAAATCTCGAAAAAGTAGTGATGTAAAATATTGCACATTTTTAAATGAACCTCTACGCCCTTTCGTCGATAGAAAATTTCTTCTTTTTCATGATTGTTGAACAACTCAAGGTGATCTAACACGATTTAAAGCAGTATTTCCATATTAAGACAGTCAATTATTAGTTTTTCCTCGAGGATCTACTGGTCATTTTCAACCGCAAGATCTACCATTGTTTCGTTCATAGGGACCTATTCATGAGAGAGTCAAACATGATGTCCATATCAATCGAACGGAAATGAACTTGAATGATCGTCAATATTTCATGAATATGTATTCTATCATTGACAATCAATTATCTGCTCCACAATTCAAAAGTCTCATTAAGTCTAGATTCATGCAATCTAAAATACTCAACGAAACTATTGGTGAAATCAAGAAAACAAATGATGTTTGTTTTAAATTTTGTGACCGTCATTGTTCAGTTAGTAGTTGTGAAGAACGAACTCTTCTAACTTGCATCTGGTGAAAAGACATCCTTGTTATTATCACTTGATTTAAGATCTTTATCTTCATGTATAGCGACTCTATTGAAATATTATTTTGTACAGTTTATCAACTTCTTGTAAAATAAAGTCAAAACGATTGATAAATGACGAATTTCCGTATATAATACTCTATATATCTTTTACTAGACACTATTGGACTTCAGCAGAAATCGTATCTAGAGTAATGTAAATGGTGTCAAAAAAAACTGATCTCGATTTTGGAGACGCATTTCCTAAAAAATCTGATAATTATGTTAAAAACTCATGTGAATATTTCATATATTATCATGTTTGTATACTCAATTAATGAAGAACTTAAAAATTGAATATCTCTATATAGGTAAGCCATCAACAGTTCATATTTTAAATTCTTTAGTTTCTCAATGAGTGTGACCATATTCACCCAATACGATCGTCCCTCTTATTCATCAGTACAAATGCTTCTATTTTAGCTAGTGTGTGCTAAATGACACAACCACGTATTTTCAAGTGTACATACTAAACGAATATTAACATTGTAACTACTAACAGCAAAATAGTTGCGTGTAGTATTTTTGATAGATACTTCTATGGGTAGCCAACCACAAAAGGCATAAGATTCCCAAAAAAATCGTTTCGTGTGCAGAACATTGTAGAGCTCGTTGTGTTGATCATTTTGATAAAAATATATTGTAATTTACCCAATAAATAATGGTTCTAGAGGCAAAATATCCCAAACTTTAACTATTGCTTAGCAGAAGTAAGAACAAGCGGAAGGTTTTTTGCGCATCTTGACTGTAGCACCATTATTTATTGAGTAAATTACAATATGTTTTTATCAAAATGATCATCACAACGTGCTCTACAATATGCTACAGACGAAACGATTTTTTTGGGAATCGTATGCCTTTTGTGATTGGCTACCCATAGAAGTACCGATCAACAATACTACACGCAACCATTTTGCTGTTGGTAGTCAGTTCGATGTGTTGATCTTACTCGATATTTATTTGATGTCGTTTGGAAATTTAATAATTCTTGTTTTTGTTATTATTTTTCGTCATGTTAAGAGCAAAACTATTGTAGCACACATGATATCAATCTGAAATGACACTGACTTTAATGGTATCAATTTACGCGGAAGAATATTATTGATATCTTTTTTCGGTCCATCTATACTTTACGATCAACAAATAATGATAAAAAATGCGTACTTGAGATCAAGAACAATTAAAACATAGACTGATAAATACTTATATTAAGCATCTGTTCATTTTTTTATTATGATAATGAATAAATAGTTGCTAAAAATGAATAATAATAAATAATGACTTTTTATTTCAGTTTGGCTTAGAGTGGATATGTGGACATGGTTGTCTCTTTATAATACATCTGCATCTACTGTCACATCTACATTCGCACTGACATAAGTCTGTATGAATGTTTTTATGGTGTCATTGTAGAATCTAGCGAATCCGGTCTCAATGAACGTTAGTTCTCATATAACTCTTTAATATGTTGCTCAATGTTTTACATGTCACAATAGACTTCGAAGTATACAGTCAAAATCTAGATGCATTCACGTCCGCTCTGAATCGTTTTATGACTTTTATGTATAAACGCAATTACAAGTTAACTTAGTCGTCTAAATTACGAATAATATCAGAGTTTTTGTTCGCTACTATTCTCAACACTTTTCCTACGTCGATAAACGATTGAGCAAACACTCGAACGTTGTAGAACTATTATCAAATGTCGAAAGATTTTATAATTTCTAGCAAATGCTTCATCTTCCATAAGCGGGAACTCCAATGCCTGTTTGGAAGACATAGTGTCGCGAAAGCATAGGAGAATCATCCGTGATTGCGAAGATGTTCGAAGATACGCCAATTTTCATGTCAAGTCAATGTACGTAGATGCATGTAAATAATGAAAACTCAAGAATGATTTCTGAAACGATTCGACTATTCATCTGTATATTCGGGTTCCTCTTCTTGTCATTCCAACCAAATCTACACGAACAAGAATGCATTGGTTTTCTTTTTTCATCTAAGGCATATATTGAACCCTGTGTGAAATGGAAAAAGGAGACATCAATAGTGTACTTGTCAGCACTCATATAGCGTAGGCAGGCCTCAGGTTTCTAGCGTTCATTTATTGTGGGTCTCAATACATGTTCGGCTTATATTTCATTAAAATGTAGGTGTAGGAGCAGACTTTGAAATGAATGTGCAAACCCACACCCTTTTTCATCATAGGTACTTTCTATTTTTCGTTTTTAATTACTAGAACAAAACGATTAATAAATGTTTAATCAAGATCTTGATTAGAATGATTGAATACAATTCTCAATAAAATGCTTCTCATTCTATTACGCTAATGTCGTCATGTCAAATATTGATCATTATAGCTTATGCTAGCCTCCATTTTCTTCTTTTGTATTCTTTAAAAAACAATGAATGAAAACTTTTCCAGCATAAAAATAAAAAGCATGCAAGTAAAGAAAAATAGAATAATGAGATAATGAAAAGTAAGAAAGAACAACACACAATTACGTATATATGTGCAATTATATATATCAAAGAGGAAAAAGAAAATATAGATCAGAGACTCGTGAAACAACTACACAGTTATGCCATCATTACTTCGCTGTGCTTCTGCCGAACAATCTTTCGGTCAACGACGTTTGAAAATTTCTCCAGCAATGAAGTTAAACATTCATAGTCTTTATCCACTATGCTCCAAGAAAGTGCACTAATTTACCTGGCTTTACGGGACGATCGTATTTTATCGATACCCTGTTCTATAAGAATAAATGATCAACCTAAAACTGAACCATACGACCACGCTATGTATTATAAAATGAGTTATATTTTCAGCATTCTTTTGTGAGGGTAAAAAAATATTATCTTTTGTTTCAATTCAAATTTATAATATCTATTCTAGCAATCTACGATAATATAATCTTCAGCTTGATTTATCTCAATCAGAATACATCGGGACAGTTCATTCTCGATGGATTCCTTGATGTGTTCTCGAAAACAATAAAGATGTTCACACAAAACAAAGGTTTGAATAAACACACTTAGCAAATCGATTTCAAAATATTAGTCATGAGATATAGAGTACTGTGAAAAATTATAGAATCACTGTATTTTTGAAATTTTTCAATGAAGAAGAGTACTTAGACTAAATGCAAATAGTGATTTGGATAGCCCTTGGGATTTTCTATTGAATACCACACACACCAGGATTTCAAGGGGAACTTTGATAAGACAGTTTTCCAGAAAACCGTTTTTC